AGAACTTGGAACCCAGCAATTCCATTCCCAGTGCATTCCTAATGGAAATGTATGATACCTGTACCAAAAGACATGTGGAAGGATGTTCACAGCAGGCTTATTCATCACAGGTTAAAGCTGGAAACAACCAAATTCTCATGTAGAGTAGAATGAATAGAGTGCTCTGTACCCATGATGGAATACTACACAGCAATGACAACGGATGGGCCACAGCCGCCCCCAACACGGAGGAATGTCACAATGTCATATGAAAGGCATTTGATTGCATTTCGGTAAAGTTAAAAAATGGGGGGGGGGACCCAATCTATAGTGCTAGAGGTCAGTTTAGTGGTTACCCTTGGAAGGTCGTGGCTGAAAGGGCCATGAGGGGGACTTGGGGGGAATCTGGGAATGTTCTGTGTCTCCATATGAGTGTCCATGCCTTGGTGTGTTCAGTTTGTGAAAATTCATGGAGACGTATATACTTAACAACCTGTGCACTTTTTTGTATGTTGGACCTTACTATAAAGTCTAAAAAGGAGGAAGTGGAGGAAGAGGAGGAGGGGGGGTAGGGGGAGGGGAAAGAAATCACAGCACTCAGTCACCTGAACGTGCTTCCTGGATAAAACTCTGCTTTGCCTCCTAACTGAGTTTTTTAGGGACTTGATGCCATGCCCTTGTCTTGCAGTTCAGGACGAGGCCCGCCAAAGCCCTCCTAGAGGTCGCCTCTTCTACTTCCTGGACGAATATTACTGAGGTTGTACTTTGCCACGTTACTTGGTGCCCCTTTTCACGAGGACTCATAGAAGAAACTTCTCTGATAGCTCAATACTTGGAAGAATGAGTATTATCTCAAGCAACAGGTGTGCGTGTGTGTTTAAGCTGGGGACAAGTCCATGTAATCTCTTGCCTCCCTCTTTGCTTTGGTTGCTAGGAAGCTCAGTGTCAACATTTCTGTTGACCTTTCATGGCATCATTGGTCCATTGGATGTCTATTCTGTACCAGGGGCTCGGCCAACGTGACGGGCAAGACATCCCCCCTGCCCGTGGGGCCTCACCAAGCCAGGGCACAGGCGTGCCAGAGGGGGTGAGAACACCTCCATCAACGCAGTAACAGGAAGCTCAGGGCCCAGGATCGCCGACTGTAGGGGCCCAACCCATCCCTAAAAGGTTAACAAGGCTTCTTGGAAGAAGTACCACCGGAACTGGGTGACGAGGGACGACCAGGCATTAACCAGCTGAGGAGGGTGGAGGGAAATATTCCAGGCAGAGGCAACAGCAGATGCAAAGTCTGAAGTGAGAGCGAGTCTGAGGCTCACAGTAAATCTCTATTTCTAATTCTCACCTCCCCCTTATTTCCCATTGTTCTGCCTTTCTTAGCTTTGAAATTTTGTCTTATTTTTTTTTTCCAGGCCCCGGACGTCTTTTTGGAGCCACGGAGGACACAGAGACGCCAAGAGTCTGTGTAGAATATGGAGCAGGTGAGGACGCTTGAACACTTGGTCCAGGTCTCAGCAGCCTGGCCCCTTCTCTTCCTTCTCCCAGTGCGGCGTGAGCTGTATAGCCAGATGCTAATGATGTTCCCCTCCTCACTGTCTCCCCGTCTCCCCCCCGGCCGCTGAGGCACCCCAAGCGCCCACGTCCTACTCGACAGTGTGTGATGAATTACTGTATCAAATGTCAGCTCAGAGGGAAGGAGTTTCTGCAGTGGAGTCACCGATATTCCCAGCCCACGCACAGCTCTCTGATTGCTGGCTTCTGAGGCTCTGTCATTGCTACTTCCTGTGGGAGAGGTCAGGCTGGGTGCTCTCTAGAGTCCTGAATGACACTTGGGTGTCATTTCTTCTCCTCCCTACAGTATTTTCTGTAAGAGGGCAGAGACCCATGGTGGAGCCTTTTCCACCCTGACTCTCCTAACTCTATGTGACATGACTGTCCCCTTCCGGGAGCCTCTGACTCTTCCTTGTCTGTGGGAGTGAGACAGAGAACCCTTGGTGGGGAGAGTGGACACGATGACAACGAGAATGAGAAGAGGTGGAAAAGAGATAGCCCCTACCCCAAACTTCATTCCATGTCCCCACGGGAGCCAGCCAGGCTCAACTTGGGCTGTCAATACAGGAAGCAGAATGTGTTCCGTTGGCTTGATCATGAACCCAATTATAGCCCCCACCGTCCGTCTAGCAAACCAAGCAATATTATCAGTCACGATAGCACCACGGGTTCGCAGGTGTGGAAAGCTCTAGTTTTGCTCCAAACTGACAAATATTATCCCATGCTGCCTCAGGACCTTTGCACTTGCCATTTCGACTCGATGCCCCAGATCTGCGCATAGATGACTGTGCCAGATGACTCAGACCTAGACTCAGACATCTCAATCCGTGGAAGCTTTCTCAGACCGCTCAGGCAAAAATAGCCCCCTCACTGTCACCTCCCTCTGCTTATTCTCTGCAGCACTTGACCATCAAAAAGTAGCTTGCTTTTTTATTAACTGTGGTCTGTCTCCCTCGATTGGCCTGGAGACCTCATGAGGACAGGGACTTTGCCTTCTGCCTAGCTGCATCTGAGGTGGCCAGCTGAATGCTTGCTGCCTGGGAGATGCTCATACTCATTTGCTGAATAGGCGAATAAAACTGGACTACAGTTGAGCTTCAGCAGGACCCTGTGAGGTGCCCAGGGCTTCAAAAGTCAGCTGAGACTAAGGATGAGATGGTCAAAGCCCTCACCCAGGGTGCGGAATTTCAGGGAGTGCCAAGAAACCCAGAAACCGAGATTAAATAGCATCCTAATGCAATATTTAAGAAAGTCAAAATTCATGCCAAAAATCCACGATGAATAAAACATCAAAAATTTAAATGAAGACAGGATCCCACTGTGCATACTCTCTCACTTACCCCTCACCTTAATCCCGGCCCACCAGTCCTTCCTTTATTTGAAATTTTGGTATTTGGCTCATCGTGGATTTTTTTTTTTTTTGCATTCATTTACATTTTAAAAGACACTGCATTGAAATACGATTTATCTTGCTGAGTTTCTGGCACCCCTTTAAATTTCATGCCCCAGGCGAGTGACTTACTAGAGTCCTGGCCCTGAAAAACTAAGCGGAACAGCAAGTTACCGTGCACAGCTCTTCCGTGATCTACCCACAGCTCCCCGACCACATCTCACATTACACTGCATGAATTTGCTTAGGAATCTGAAATTGGCAGTAGTCCCCGGGGGGCAGGGACTCTCTGGCTCCCGTCCTCATCCCCAGTCTGTGAACTCAACACCCAACTAAAGACAATAAGACCTCAGCACGGTGATCACACCCCCATCCCCACCGATGTAATCTCCAATCACATGTTCCTCTCCACCCACGAGAGGCGACCACTACTCCAAAGCTGGTGTTATTATTCCCATGGAAATATCTTTACACCACAATCATACGGTATATGCCCCACGCAATATACAGTATCAGCCTGCACTTTTAAAAAATTAATATGTTCGATATCATGTTTCAAGTATTCTTTCGTGACTTAAATAATCTTTCTCCAGCGTTATGTTTTTGAGGGCAATCCAGGTAGAGTCACCTATCTCTAGTTGAGGGGTCAGGAAACTTTTTCCATAAAGAGCTCGATACTTTTGGGCTTTGTACATCACAGAGCCTCTGTCACAGCTACTCAGCTCTGCCATCGTAGCATGAAAGCTGCCAGAGACTTCACACGAATGGGTGGGCGTGGCCGTATGCCAATAAAACTTTATTTACAAAGAAAAAGGTGGAAAACTGGGTCTGCCTCCTGGGCCATTGTTTTCCTGCCTCTTTATTCGTGTTTATTTGGCAGCTCAATCTTTAATACAACAACATGGGTTCATTCATTCTCTTATTGATAGACTCCCATTTGGGGGTTCAGATTTCTTCAACACGACAATGCTGTTCCTGTATACTTCTTGGCTTTTCTTACATATGTGAGAATATATTCCACACAGAATTGCTGGAGCACACAGTATGGACAGGGTCAGCTTTCAGAGACAAGCCTAAGTTGTTCAAGGGTGAAGAGATCAAATATCAAATTACACTCCCACGGCAGCATATGGTTTCCTGCTGCTACACGTCCTTGCCGATACGTGGCTACATCAGACTTCGATTTTGCCAGTCCAAGGTGCAAAATCGTACCTAGGGTGGTGTTAATTTGCATTTCCTGATTGGTAATTAGGTTGAGCATCTGCTCATGAGTGTATTGGCCATTTGGATTCCCGAACATTTGAACTCTTTTTTTTTAATGTTTACTTATTTTTGATAGAGAGAGGGAGAGTGTGGGCAGAGAGAGAGGGAGACACAGAATCCGAAGCAGGCTCCAGGCTCTGAGCTGTCTACACAGAGCCGATGCAGGGGTTGAATCCACAAACTGTGAAATCATAACCTGAGCTGAAGTCAGATGCTCAACAGACTGAGCCACCCAGGTGCCCAGAACATTTGAACTCTTGAAACAAGAGTTCTCCTCTTGGGAGTTGCCAATACCTCTTTTTGCCCATTTTTTTTTTTCCTACTGGAGTGTTTCTCTTTTTCCAGTTGATTTAAGAAAGCTCTTTATATGTCCAAATACCCTTTGTCGGTTACACATGTTGTAAATTTCCCTGCCCAGTATGTAGTGTGTCTTCCCTTTATGCTTTGATAAACAGAAGTTGATTACTTTAATATAGTCAAATGTATCATTTTTTTTCCTCGCAATTTGTGCTTTTGTGACTTATGCCAGAAATTCTTCCCTTTGGGGTCAGATGATATGGGTTTGAATCTCAGTACTATGCATGCTAGTTGTGTGGTCTTGGGGAGATACTTAATATCCCAGAGCCTCAGTCTCCTCCTCTGTAAAATGGGGACAAGGACAGAATGCCCCCACAGGGTTATTTTGAGGGGTTATTTGTAAACCCTTTATTTGAGGCTATTTTGTAAAGCACTTAGCACAGTGTCAGGCACATCATAATCTGCCCCATCAACACACGTCACCCCACACAGGGGACCCCACACAGAAGGGACAGGGTACCTTGCTCTCTAGCAGGTCTGCATTCTGCCGGAGTTCATTCCGTGACTTCTCCGATTTTTCTAGCTTCTGTCTCAGCATTGTGAGTTCCTCCTATAAAAGCAAACACCTTAACAGAAGCCATCCTGGATCAGAGGCAGGGCTTCCGCATGTGTTAAGAGTCCCGGGGGAACAGAGCGAGGGATTCTGCCAGCCTCTCTGTGACGATGCCCAGATGCTAAGTTCCCACAAGGGACTTTTTCTTTCCCCATTTCGGAATATCAGCGTCTCTGCTCGTGCAAGTCTGGGGCCACCGGGCTTGCATGAGCATCCCAGTCAAGGGGTGGAACGCAGATCCTCAGAATGAGTCCATTACTCGACCCAAGACTGCGTATGCCTGAGCGGCATGGGGAGCTTGGCTCTTCCTCCTCCCCAAGACCACCACTCTGCCAGTGGCTCTGCGTTACGCTTTCGGTACTGTCGTTAGGCACAGCCTAAATGCCCCCCCTCCCCCACAGCAGACCCCTGGGATGAACTATGGAATGCGCACAAAAAAAAGGAGTAGGAGGCTGTCACGGAAAGAGAATCAGGAAGACCTCTGTGCAAAGCCATTGTGCGCATTTGTGTGAAGTGGCTAATTTTGCAAGAATAGACAACAGCCAGGATAAACCAGAAACCGATCAAAACGGTTTCCCTGCAGAAGGCGGGCGCCACCGGGGTGGAAGGGACAGTCAGCACCTCTCGGAGAGGTAAGAAATTGAAAGGCTCAAAGATGCCACCACCACGTCTCCCTGGGACGACCAGCATCATGGTCAGTGCTCGTGTGCCCCTGGGTAGTGATGGGGTATCTGACCAGCACCCACAAGCCCGGTGTAGAGCTGGACGTGGGATGGAGGGTGGTCTGTGTCTGTGTTAATGACAGCAGAGTGGTATCTGGAAGGCGGCAGCAAGGCTGCTGAGCAGAGCGTTTCTGGATCACGAATCCGCAGAGTGGAGGCACTGAGTCCAGAAGCAAGCGTTACTATGGGGGTGTGAGGACGGGGCCAGCCCACGTCTTGCCTGCCACATGGACCGACCTCCTTGGCGTGGAGCTGCTCATCCCCAATGGTGGCACTCAGCAGGGGCCGGAGGGAACCGAGGAGCCGCCACCAGGACCAGTCCTTGACCGCCAGGAACACAGCCACGTTCTTCTGGATGCACCGCGCAGCCAGGCGGCGAATCTGCGGGGAAGGGAAACCAGAAACTTGAGGGGTCCTCCCCAACCCGGTAAAGGTGAAGGAAAGAGAGCAAAGGGGGTGGGAAAGGGGCTGGAAAAAGCGAGTTCCATATCTTAATGGAAGAGGTTGGGTAACTCACACATTTTTTTTTTTTCAACGTTTATTTATTTTTGGGACAGAGAGAGACAGAGCATGAACGGGCGAGGGGCAGAGAGAGAGGGAGACACAGAATCGGAAACAGGCTCCAGGCTCTGAGCCATCAGCCCAGAGCCTGACACGGGGCTCGAACTCATGGACCGCGAGATCGTGACCTGGCTGAAGTCGGACGCTTAACCGACTGCGCCACCCAGGCGCCCCGAATCACACATTTAAAAAGCTTCTTTGCTGGGGGGTGGGGGGGGGAGGGGAAAGTGGGTGATGGATACTGAGGAGGGCACCTGTTGGGACGAGCACTGGGTGTTGTATGGAAACCAATTCGACAATAAATTATATTTAATATAAAAGATAAAAAAGAAGCTTCTTTGCGATGGTATTGTAATAGTATTGTCTGGTGACGGCCAGTAGCTAGCTGCCCATGTGAGCACAGCGTCACGTGTAGACTTGTCCAATCACTAGGCTGTGCCCCTGAAACTGTCACATTGTGTCAACTGTACTCAAAAAACAAGCAAATGCACACTTTTTTTTTTAATTAAAAATATTTTTTGAGAGCTTTTCATGGAATCGGGCTCTGGGCCTCAGACATTATACCACAACGTAATCTTGCATGACCTAAGAAGAAGGAGAAGCGGAGGAGGAGGGAATAGGGTCACGTCTCGTAAGGGCATCAGATGCAAAATCACCGCGAAAGACAAAAAATAAATAAATAAACGATCCTTGAAAACCCCTGAAATTGCCCGCAAGATCCAAAGGCCATGATTGTGTTGCCGGTTGATTTTAGGGGACAGGTATCACTTTAAGTGTTATTTAAATACGAACCCCATGCTGCTCAAGCCTGAGTGAGCGCTTAATAAAGCACCAGTGCTGGGCCCCACCCCCCAGACTGTCTGATTCAGGAAGTCGGGGTGGGGCCGGAGAATTTGCACGGCTAACAAGTGCCCAGTTGGTGTGGATGCTGTTGGTCTGGGGACCATACTTTGAGAACCACCGGTACAGATGGGGAAACTGAGCCACAGAGACGCCCCCCCCCTCGCCCCAGCCCCGGTCACCTGCTCAATATCACACAGCTTCCCGGTGGTGGGGTTGGGATTTGAAACCCCGCAAGTCTGGATGCAGACAGAATCCAGGGCGTTAATGAACCTGTCTTCTAAATCATTCTGAGGCATAAGCTACTGGAAGGCAGTGGGCCAGTGGGGTTGCCCACGATATTTTAATTATTAACGTTCTCGCCTTTTTCTGCTTTTGCCAAGCGCGTGTACTTGAATTTACGAATTCGCATCAACTGGGGGCACATGTAATGAGACCCCATGCTAGTGGTAGTACTTAATAATGAGGACCTGGAGGTAACCGGAGCTGGCATTTGTTGAACAATGTGCCAGTCTGGGGCACGGACTAGACTCGGCACGCATGACCTCATTTCACCTTGACCCAGCTCCTAAGGGGTGGGTCTCCACTGTTTGTCTCCAGAGCTGTGCTCTATAATGTGATGCTCAGAGGAACCATGCACACATTTCTCTACTGCACGAGCTACAGGGAGGAAGGAAATGCAGTCTCCAGGGTGGCTCAGGACTGCGGACTCTGAGCTGCCCCTTCAGTCCCGAAAGCCTCAATGGCCAGGTCCTGTCATGTCCTGTCTGCTGGCCCATGAGAGCCAAGTTCTCCAGAGATGGAACAGGTTGAAACCATAATGGACCCGGGAGGGCTTGGACACCCCCATGATACCTAGATCAAGTCTGACATCATTGGTCATTTGATGTCAACGTCCTAGAAACAATCATCACATCTTGCAAAGCGTCACTTTAAAGTCCTCCCATTCGGGGTGAGCCTATGGAGCGACAGCACTGGCACCATCGTGGGAGACCTGCAGACCACCACCCCTCCCCTGCCCCATGCTCACCCCAGACCCACTGGATCTGAAACTGCATGCTGAAATATCCCACAGGGTTTCGTGCCCAAGCGTGAGTGTGCGAAGCGCGAGGTTACCGCGCCCAGATCAGCTCGGATGCTGCTTTTCTGGGATCTCACACCTCTGCAGGGGTAACGAGGCTCACTGGGTGCCATACCTTCAGCTTCTTGAATTCCTGCCGGGACAGAAAGCCCTTACAAGCCGCCTGGAATAAAATGATGCTGTGAGACGCCAGCTTCTCCCGCTGCTTCTCAAGCCTGGAGACCACGCCTGCCTTGAGGAAAACCTGGAGGGACAAAAGGTGACCGGTGACTCCTGTGCGGCTGAATCAGATGGTCTGAAGAGAGAGGGGGTTGCCACTCAACCCAGTTTTCTTGCGCCCCTCCCCCACCGAGATATTTGTTAGCAGCTGCCCGCGACTGAGGGTCTAAATTATCAAAACAGGGGTCCCCGGGTGGCTCAGTCAGTCGGGCGTCCTTTCAGCTCAGGTCGTGATCTCGCACTCTGTGAGTTCGAGCCCCGCGTCAGGCTCTGCGCTGACAGCTCGGAGCCTGGAGCCTGCTTCAGATTCTGCGTCTCCCTCTCTCTCTGCCCCTCCCCCGTTCATGCTCTGTCTCTCTCAAAAATAAAACAAAAACATAAATTGTCAAAACATCTTATCTCCTCACGAGTCCTCTTTTCCTTCTTCTAGCCCTTGGGTGCTCAGAACACGGTCCCCAGAGTGGCATTGTCACCACTGGGGAGCTTGTTAGAAATGCTGAATCTGGGACCCCACCTGCTGAATCAAAGCAACACTGTAATGTGACCCTCAGGGGAACCATGCACACCTTCATTTCAAAACCACTGTCAGGAGGGACCTGCCTAAACGTCTCTGCACCAGAATTGCTTTGCAGACAGTGGAAGATGCAGATTCCCAGGCTTCACCCCAGGAAAGGCTGAATCCATGGATTTAGTGGCAGGCCTGCGATTGTACGTTCTTTCCGATAAGTGTCGCTGGCCCCCTGAGAGAAGCAGTGCCCTGGAAATATTCGGTCCTGCCTTATAAGGAGGGGCGGAGAATGTGGAGGAAGTGAGGGTGGCCCTCCTCGGCCAGGGGAGGAGGGGGTCAGGCTGGTGCCACCCACAGAAGGTGGTCAGGCATCCTAACAGAAAACAGCTTGCGGTCCAGGATTTCCAGGCCTCTGCTCATCCATAATGGATGGAGGCCTTCCGCAGCAAAGTGATCAATGCCTCCTTGACACCCCGCAGGGCCGCCTTCAATATACTGCGGGGCACACAGAAGGATTTTCTGAGAACCTAACACTTTGGGGCCAGGCCTGCTCTGCCCACCTGGTAGGGTGGTTACTGTCAGTCTTACCTCCCCGGAGTCAAAGGAAAGAGGCCCTAGCAGCTTGGGACTTGAGTCGGTGACGGGGGCAGGGGACGCTTTTCAGATGCCCTCGTCACGCTAATATCTATGACCAGCCTGCCGTGTTTCTCTGCCAAACGTGGCCTCTCACCCCAAAGATGTGCACTTTTCTAGGGGCACTGGATGGCTGCATCTTAGTGATATTATCAAGTAATTGGGGACGTTATCAATCAGTGTTGCAGATCGGAACCAACCACTTCACCTGATACGTGCAGGTAAAGTACTGAATGTACATCATCCTGTAGGGTAGTTATTGCGATCCCCCCATTTTATGGAAGGAAAGACTAAGGCTGACAATGGCATTTCTCCCATGACCCTCCCCTAGCAAGCGGAAACAGCAGAAATGTTTCCCTCCGTCTGACTCCAGACCAGACTATAGTTATCACTGAATACAATTAACATTTGCATGGCATCTAGATTTTTCAAAGCTCTTTCTCCTCTGTCCCATTATAATAAAAACAACCTTATGAGGAATCTATTGGCCCAGGGAGATTATGTAACTGACTCAAGTTCACCCAGCCGGCGATCAACAAAGCCAAGTTCACCTCCAGCACCCATTCTCAACGTCAACACGAGGCTTCGTTTCTTCACTGGCTATCGTACAAACGCCTGAAGTTTGGGGTTGAATTGCAATTTGATTCCAGGTGCACAAAGGGTCTCAATCGATTGTCCCTTAAACCTATTTGCTGCAATGGCAGCCACCCCGCCCGTCCCACAGAGAGCCCTTCCTCAAGGCGAGGATGAGAATCTGCACGCCCAGTCGGTGCCAACTCTGTTTTGCAACCTTCCCTGGCTTTACAGGACACTTCCTATCAGCCAGAGCCACCGAGACAATTAGCCTCACTGAAATAAAGACACGACTGACTCATTACCTATCAGATTGTCTCAATAATGACTGTATTAATTTCACAAGCTAGTGAGTCCCAAAAGCTGCTATAAAAAAAAATCAATGATCAAAATGATGACAGCCCTAGTTCGTATATTACAAAAGGCGGCGGGTGCTTCCAAAACCACTATTGATTAAGTATGAAGCTTTCATTAAAAAGATAATTGGAAGCGACCATACACACAATGGGAATAAGTCATCGGCTCTGCAGAATCTTATCTTGATTTTTTTTTCCCTTTAAAGAGCATATTGCCAACCAGAAGGCCAACTGCATGTGGGATTCCACCTTTTTCATAAATGTCATGGCCCTCAGCACAGGCCTCGATAAGGCACCAGGGGCTGAGAATCACAAAGAAAAATCTAAATTATTCGCCTTTCGTGGGTCCAGCGGCTTATCAGACGCAAGCAGAGTGTAACATCTCAACATCCTCACATTTAAGGAAATCTACGGGGGCCACCGCGATGCAAACTGTTTTTCCTCTAAAAACGCTGAAGACCAAGGTTCAAGATTCTGATATGGCAGAAGCTCCCATATCTGGGACTGCTGAGGAATCAGCTCTTGTCCTAGTAATTTTCCGGATTAGAGGGGTTTCCTTCTTGAAACATTCAAATCTTATCCTATTTGATAAGCGTCTTGTCCCAGTGACAAACGCATTCAACACGTAGATGACAACTGACTGCTTTCCCACAGCCAACCTGGGGGGTGGGGAGCAGTGGCTCCATTTTACAGATGAGGGAACAGAGGCTCAGAAAGGCTAAATCAGTCCCTAGAGATTCATAATTAGAAAGAGGGGGAGCAGAGGGGCAGGTGGGTGGCCCAGGCAGTCAAGTGTCCGACTCTCGGTTTCAGCTCAGGTCATGATCTCATGGTTCGGGAGTTTAAGCCCAGCATCAGCCTCTGTGCTTGGGATTCTCTGTCAGCCCATTCCCCACCGGTGCTCTCTCTTCTCTCTCAAAATAAATACATATTTGAAAAGAAAAAAGAAGTGCCCAGTCCTGCCGTGCCTCCTCTGCCCTGAAAGATTGCAGGATAGCCTAGCTTCCAAAGGATACACTGACTTTAATTTGCTCTCGACTGCTGTTTTAACGAACGCCAAGCATTACTTGAGAACAACAGTGTTGGTTTTGTTTGTAATTGGGATGTTTCGGCTTCTAAATTTCTTGCCCTCACTCTGTGAAAGTATGTACAAAGACTTCTCTTGCTTCTGTTTTCTTCCTTGCTCTACAATAGCGGCCGGGCTTATAGAGACTGATTTTTGTATTCATGAGATAACGGAGTCGTTATCTAGACCAGTGGTTGTCAAACTTGAACATGTGCCGGAGTCCCGGGGAGGGTTTGCTGCAACCCAGACTTCTGGGTCCTACCCCCAGAGTTTCAGATTCACTAGGTCTGCGCTGGGGGTAGCTGAATGTTTATGCTTCTAGCAAGCTCTCAGGGGATCCTGCTGGTCTAGAGACTGTATTTTGAGAACGGCTGGTCTACGTGGACAAAGTTCTTGGAGCTGAAGGACAAGGCCTCTGAATCTGGGCCATACCGACATGTGTGTAAAGAGTGTGTGTACCGACGTGTGTGTAAAGAGTGTTTGTTCGACTTCCACCAATCAGCAGCAGAACGCACAGCGTATGGAGAAGAGTGTGGGATCCAGGGCCATACGGGCTTTCACGGGAGCTGTAACTGGTCTTCTAGATAAGCGTAAGGCCTTGAAAGGGGGCTTACTTCCCAGAGGTGCACCTTCCCCGCCTGGAAAGAAGGGATTTACTAATTATCTCCCAGGAGCTTTTGAGGGAAAAGAGGAACAATGTGTGAAGCGGAAGCCCAGCAACTGACAGGTTCCTTCCTTCTACTGGAAAGGTCTGCGAAGTCCCAGTCGCTGCCAACTCCGGGTGGAATAAATCAGGTTGAGACGCCAGTAAACTAAGAGGCTTGCGTGTCTATGGGGCAATGACTATATGAAAACCCGTGAGCTCGCCAAGGCAGGTGCAATGGGACACGCTACTCAGGGGCCCCAGAATGACTAATGGCCAATGATGCCACCATGGTGGGTTTCCGGAGAACCGGGGCCCTTCCCCAGCACCTCGCGCCTGGAGGTGGCAGGAGATCGACAAAGGTTTGAGGGTTGATGTTACTCAATCAGGGGATGAGGGTGGGAGGGCAATTTTCCCTTTGGTCAGTTTTCTCCCCAGTTTCTGTTTCTACACTTTGCCATTCTCCCTGCCTGCCGCATGGTCCTTGAGTTTACTTCCCAAAGCAGAGCCCATGGGACACTAGCTCCAGGAGCTGGTAGGGGATCTTCCACAGACGCAAAAGGATGGGACTCCCCTTGGGAAGCCCTAAATACAATATTTTCCCGCTTGAAAACTTGGAGGCTATACAGGCACATCCGGACTCTGTGAACCTCTTCTCTAAATGTTGAAGCGTTATTGGAAAAGCCCTGGGCTCAACACCAGTTTGAAGAAAGTTATTTCCCTCAACGTTAATGTCATGTGCCTTCTCGCGGAGTCCTAACTTTTCACTTACTGCTGCTAATCAGCTGGGACTATTCACCCCGGTACTGTCGGTTGCCAAGTAAAAGTTAACCAGGCTCCGGGTGAAGGTGAGTGCTTCTTCTCGGCTTTTACGGCAGCTCTTTCTAAGGCTTGGATATCCCTGCTGAGGTCCAGGATGTGAACTCTTCCAGACTGCTGAGGTCCCTGGGAGTGTAACCTCTAACAAATGATATTCCCCAGTGTTGTTGCCTCCCACGTAATACCACTTTATCTTCCTGGCCTTGTAAGATGGGCAGGGCAGAAAGTCGCTAGCCCTGTCTTCAGTTGGGTGAAAAGGAGGCCCACACAGGTAGCGGATGATGCAGTAGGACCAGAATCGGGGTTCACCTGGGTCCCTGATGGGATGAGCAGAGTGACATAAAAAGGAAGCTCTACTCACCTGGCTGTGCCCAACAACCACCGCCTTCTTCTCCAGATCCAGGGTCTGTAGGAGCTCATCCACAGCCTGGGGAGAAAAGTTAGACAGACAGAATGAGGCAGGCTCCCAAAGCAGGAGTCAGGTTGGCTGGATGGCTGGTGCCTTGGGAAAGAGGACGGCTCCACGTGTCTTTGAGTCTGACCAACTGAGCCCCACCTCACCCGGGCGAGGACAAAAGATGAGCATGTATTGAGTGCCTACTGTATGCCACCCACTCCCATGCTGGGACACCATGGATACCATCTCCTGGCATCTCCCTAGCAACCCGAGGTGGGTCCTCATACTACTGTGCCCGCGTACAGAGGAAAAAAACCAAAGACACAAGAATAAATGAAGGATGTGTCTGCTATGGAAGATGGTATGGCAGTTCCTCTAAAAACTAAACCTCGAGGGGCACCTGGGGGGGCTCAGCTGGTTAAGCGTCTGACTTCGGCTCAGGTCATGATCTCACAGTCTGTGAGTTCGATCCCCACGTTGGGTTCTGTGCTGACAGCTCAGAGCCTGGAGCCTGCTTCAGATTCTGTGTGTCCCTCTCTCTCTATCTCTCTACCCCCCCTTCTCGTGCTCTCTCTCTCTCTCTCTCTCAAAAATAAGTAATACACATTAAAAATTTTTTTTTAATTAAACCTAGAATTATAGTGGGATCCAACAATTCCCCTTCTGAGTATATAGCCAAGAAGAGTGAAAACAGCGACTTGAACAGATACTGGTACACCCACGTTCATGGCAGAGTTAGCACAACAGCCAAAAGGTGAAAGTAACCCAGTGTCCATCCACAGGCGAATGGATTCACACAACGTGGGATATACACCCAATGGGGTATTAATCAGCTTTAAATGGGAAGGAGATTCTGTCACCTGCTGCAACATGGATGAACCCTGAGGGCAGGATGCTAACTGAAATAAGCCAGTCAAACAAAGACAGATGATCCCATTACACGAGGTGCCTAGCTAATCAAATTCATGGAGACAGAAAGTAGAACGCTGGTGCCACGGGCTGGGGAGGGGGAGTGGGGAGTTAGTGTTTACTGGGGACAGAGTTCCAGTCTTGCGAGATGAGGTGTCATGGAGGTGAACCGTAGTGCTGGGTGCAAACACTGTGAATGTACCTGATACCCCCGAACTGCACATTTCAAAATAGTTAAAACGACACATTTCATGTTACGTAAATTTTACCACAATTTTTAAAACACGAAGGCAGGGGCGCCTGGGTGGCTCGGTTGGTTAAGCATCCGATTTCGGCTCAGGTCATGATCTTGCGGTTTGTGGGTTCAAGCCCCTCGTCGGGCTCTGTGCTGACAGCTCAGAGTCTGCTCGGGATTCTCTCTCCCTCTCTCTCTGCCCGCCCCCACTTGCTCACGCGCACGGTCTCTCTCTCTCTCTCTCAAAATAAATGAATAAATTTTAAAAAATGATGGGGCGCCGGATGGCTCAGCCGGGTGAGCGTCCGACTCTTGGTTTCAGCTCAGGGCGTGATCTCGCAGTTTTGTGAGTTCAAGTCCCGAGTCGGGCTCTGCGCTGACGGCACGGAGAGCGCCTGGCATTCTCTCTCTCCTTCTCTCCCTGCGCCTCCCCCACTCACGCTGTCTCCATCTCTCTCAAAATAAATAAATAACTAAACTTAAAAAATTTAAAAAAAAAACACGAAGGCATTTCCCCAAGGTTATAAGTCACATGCGGGCAGAGCCAGATTGGAATCAAGGTCAGTAGAGCCACATGGCAACCTCAATGACATCACCCCTTCACACGCCCAGGGTGGCTCCAGAGGGACCCCAGGAACTTCAGAGGGACACTAGGAACTTCACGTGCTGTGTCACTGAGGTTGGCTGCGGCAGCCTCCCCAGCACTCTGTCCCTTCCTCGCTGTTCTTGCCCAAGACTCTGCCTCACGTTCACAGATATCAGCTGAATAAATGACATGGCTGTTAACCTCGCGTGCCTGACCTTGAGTCTGGGGGGAAGCCTGCACTTCATCCCTTATTTCCTTCTGCTGCACCCGGTACCGGTCTGTGCATACAGCAGGAGCTCAATGAATACGATGGCTGAGTGAGCAAACAAACGAGGGATCCCGCAGAGGTGGGAGGGGTGCGGGATGGAGGGGGAAGGGCAGACCCACACAGGAGAAACAAATTCACGGGGGGAGATTTCCTGAATGTGGCATCAGCCACAGCACAGCCACTTAATGGGATTTTCCTTTGTCATCAAGGTCTGCGGGGTCTGAAACAACACTGGGGGGAGATTTGCACCCTCAGAAAAATGCAGGTCACACCTGGTTCCTTTGGGCCTCCGATTCCCCTCCTAGTCCGCCTCCACACCACCCCTCATGGACCTTCCATTCGCTGAAAATCAGTCTATTTTCAGAACAAACTGTCAGGAAAGTAATTGCCACACTCAGGAAATGAAAGGTATTATGGGCCTGGTGTAATTTAGTAGATGAGTTTCAATTCCGTGGGTCGTCAGCATCACAGAAAATTTCCTAAGATGCTTAAAAAAAAAAAAGCATATTAAAAGTCTGGTCCAAGACTATAATCTAGGAGCAATTTTCCTCCTCTGACCTCCTGGAAGAACATTCCATAATGCTCCTTCCAAAATTCAGTGGTTTCACTTATGACATGTTAGCCAAAAAGTGTTCCAAGGGAGCTATAGGCAGCAAAATGCATAAAAACCAATATATCCAAAACACAGCATCTTTCCTCTCTGCACAAGAGCAAAACAAAATAAAAATTGACTGAAAACAAGACAGATGGAGGAAAACTAAATGAAAGCTACAGCCAGTGAAATTCTGAAATTTTTCTAAGTTGACCTTGGACGTAGCATCCTGAGTAGATGTTTGGGGAGGGGGAACACTCAGGACCTGTAGGGAGATCCACCTTGACTGAGATCCTGGTTTTACCACTCATGAACTGTGCGACCTTGGACAAGCACTTTACTTGGAGCTCTGGGTTTCTCTTCAGAACGATGGGGAAGCAATGATCACATCTGCTTCAGAAGATTCTGTGGCTGCTCCTGCAGCGAGCTCCATACCGGATAGTAAGTGCTCAATAAACATGATGAGCTAGTCCTAATGACCTTGAGCTAGTCCCACTGGCTCCGTCTTGGTCAAAACTTGGTAGAGGTGCTATGGAACATAAACCAAGCTTCTATTTCTCGGGCACACCCAAACACTGCCAAAACACACACCCAGCCATCCAATATCCGAGGATTCTTGCCTGTACCCTCTCTTTCTTAGAGCCCTGTAGATGGCAAAGCCAAGAAGATCAGGCCTGACAAAGACATTCTGTTCCACTGATCTCATTTTACAGGTAAGAAAGCTTACGTCCCAAGTGATAGAGCCCCCGGGTGGCTGCAGTCATTGAACAATGCTTCTGACCTTCATTTTCCTGCAATATGGCAGTAAGGTTCCCTGCCTAGACCTTACAGTGTTGGGACAATTCATTGAGAATATGCGTAAAGGTCTTTGTAAGCGATGTTGCACTTAATTGCTGTTATTGTTATCCTAATGAGTATTACTCTCAGATGGAACTTTATGAAATGGGCACATATGTAGGTCAATTATCAGCGATTGCATTTGTTTCTACATAATGTAAATCATTGTCCAACAGCCAGTTGGTGGAAGACAGGGCAAGAATTCGGATTACTGTGGGGCGCCTGGGTGGCGCAGTCGGTTAAGCGTCCGACTTCAGCCAGGTCACGATCTCGCGGTCCGTGAGTTCGAGCCCCGCGTCGGGCTCTGGGCTGACAGCTCAGAGCCTGGAGCCTGTTTCGGATTCTGTGTCTCCCTCTCTCTCTGCCCCTCCCCCGTTCATGCTCTGTCTCTCTCTGTCCCAAAAATAAATAAATGTTGAAAAAAAAATTAAAAAAAAAAAAAAAAAGAATTCGGATTACTGTAACAAACCTCTTCCTGGTCCCACATCTTTCTGGAATCAGCTATCCCACCCTAATTGTTCAGATATTTGAGGTCTGCCCCTCCCCATATGGAATGCTGCATACAATGTTGGCCATCCTGTTCCGAGGAAACAGTTAAATGGTTTTCTCTTGTGCTTTTGAGTCTGAGCATGGCTCTCAGTGCTTTACACACACCTCATTTTATTTTCAAACGTCTGCGACAGGTACGACTTCATGTTCGTTTTACAGACAAGGAGAGCGAGGTCCAGTTGAGTGAAATGACCCGCCAAAAATTACGCACTAGGAAATGGTGGAGGGAGACACAACTCCAGGGAATCAGATTCTTGAGTTTGTTCTCGGCCCTCTGATGCTACGATCCTGTCCAGCTCCACTACTCAGTGGCTGTGTGGCCTTGAGCAAGCCACACCTGCTCTCTGCTCCTCCGTACCCTCTTCTAGGATATGGGGTAATCATGCCTATCCTTATCCTCCAAGGATGGAGTGGAGATTTAAGGTCACAAAGGTAGCATGTAGGCGTAAGATTTACAGAATGGTGAAGGAAGGAACTTGATAAATTCTCTGCCCCCCGCCCCACCAAAAAAAAAAAAAAAATAGTGATAAAAATGGATACAATCTTCAAAAACAACAAGTTCCATACTCTGGAAATTGAGCAAGGGCATACAACAGAGAAGCATTTGTGCAAGAGAAACTATCGAATCTCCGGTAAGAGCGGTCGGAGACTGTGACAATCTTGACCTGGGCTGCTCCGGTCCCCATCAAACTCTGGCAGTATGGTAATCCCACCAGGAGGAGGCAAGCTGTGAAAAACAGTGACTTTGCTCCCAGAAGGGGCCCACTTACATGGAGGGATGTACGGGCAAGTCCCACACCCAGGATCGTTGTTAGAAACAGTGGTGATCTTGGCAGCAAGGAAACGGAGAAGGTCAGTGGCACAGCTAGCCTGATATTATCATCAGGATTGGGGCCGGAAATGGGCATTGACCAGCCAGAAACTTGACGAGGAGATACAGGGAATGGACAGTCATGTGGGCCTTGATAAGCCCCCACATACTCTTGAGCAATGTGGAGGGAAGCACACGTGCTCGGGGCTCCACGCAGGACAGGAGACCAAGCCCTTAGCTATC